CACCATGGCACGCTCCGATAACCGCCTGTTCTGGCCCCCGTCTCCTTTGCTATTGCCCTGAGAATGCATTCGTCTGCATCCTCTCCTCTCGACGCCTTTCGGCCAATTCCCCCGACGCGACATGTCTGACGGCCCTGCGTGCGACCCCGAACCCCAAGATGGTCAGCTCGACGACCCTGATGGCTTGACGCGTCCACGGCCAGCCACAAGCCTCCGCTTCGCCGTCCGATTTCCCCCTCCAGACGCCGCCGAGTCGCAGTCTCAGTCTCAGCCCGAGAGACCGTACGCCAACTCGGACCGCAGCTCGAGTCTCGACCCCGAAGCCGATACCTGTCCGACTTCTCCTTTGACGCAGAGCATCGACCTCACCTTCCAACACGGCTTCAAGTCAACCCCCGACGCTCCTCTGGGAATCCTTGTCTGCGCCAACCGAATCGTACGCAACCTCGCACCAGCAGACACCGATCTCCATGTCCCCGATCCCGAATACGACGACGGAGACACCGATGTTGATGATCTTGCGCGATCGTTCCAGCACATTTGCGTCGTCGACGAACCCATCAATCTCTTTCCGCCTCCAGAATACGCCCCCGTGCCAGCTCGTTGGGCCTCGATATTTGGCCGTACCTCCGCTATCGCCTTGCTGCTGCTGCTGCTGCTGCTGCTGCTGGTGCTGTCGGTGTCGGTGCCGCTGCCGCTTCTGCAGCAGCTGTTGCCCGCCGGGCTCTTGTCACGACCATCGCCTTCTCGCTGTTCGTCTCCGCACACAGCCGACACCACCGTCGTCGTACGTTATGCGCCACTTGCTATCCTCGACCAACTGTCCTCCCTCCTGCGCAATCACATCGACGCTCCTCTGCCCCTCGTCGTCGGCACTCAAGACATTGTCCACAAACATTACATCGTCTACCCTCACGTTCACGCCCATGGCGTCCCTCGGCAGCCTCGGAACGTGACGGTCTCCGTCTTCATCGCCGACATTGCTCTCGTCTCCTCCGCGCTGTGCGACGCTGTATCCAGCTGGGCCACGTCGACACGCTCTCCCCTCAAGCACGACCTCAAGCTCTTGTGCCAAACAATCTCCACCGCCGGATTGGAGCTGCCGTCCCTTTGGGCCCAAGCCACCGCCATTCTCTTGTCATCATGGCCCGCCACATTTACGCTGGCCACCCTTCAACTGGCCATGGCCGTGCAAGAGCTGCCGATGGAAGGTCGTGCTCCTGGGCTCCCTGGGGGTGGTGGCATGAGGGATGGTAGCGGTACAGAGACTACCGAGCAAGTCTTGTTCTACAATGCGACTGCCCAGACATTCCTGCGGGAGCTCAGCACTGCCTGTTTTCGGAGACATCGACATCGGCACCCGTGGTCTGCTGGCTTGGAGGAGCTGCCGCCATTCCCTGCCGCGATTTACGATGGTTCGCACGCCATCGAGGCCATTGAAAATGCGACCTCGACCATCGTCACGCATCTAAGTCTGTTGCTTGCTATCCTCCGCGATGACGAGAACATCCTCTCCGCTATCGAAGCTCAGCGAGATCCCCCGCCAGATAACGACAAGACCCGTCCCCTCTACCTCTGGTCCTGGAAGCCCCGGGCGCCCCCGCCCCCCGCCTCTGCCAACAAGACGGTCGCAAGGGTAGCAACCGCTTACAACAACATCGTCCCGTTGCATTACACATGCACAGCGCTCCTATGGGCCATGGCCTTCGCTCGCGAAAAGGTCAATGGCGTTGTACGAGACCTGGAGGCTCTGGGTAACTACACCGAAAGCCTGCTGGCTGCCGATCTCCCGTCGACATTGAGGAAGCATAGCAATGTAGATGCGGCGCGACCATGGTGGCGTGGAACGCCGTGGGTAACGGAAAGCGGCGGGGGCAAAGCCGAACGGCTCGTCAGGACGTACTGGTACGTGCCGTCGGGCAGAGAGATGTCCTTGGCGATCGAGGAGCTGGAGGCCCTGGGACGACAAGAGGCCCGCAGGTACCGGGCTGACCTGGAATGGTGGGTCCGTGAGACCACGGCATTCTGGCGCGGCCAGGACGGTCGATAGATGTTCTGGTTTTCATGTCCTTCCTTTCCGGTCGGAAACCTTTGATGTTTCTTCCCTGGCCTTCTGCCGCCTGCATCGCGTGGTTGGCCCATATCCTACTTTCCGGGGCTGCGCATTGCACCAACGGCCGGCTAGTTTTTATAGACAACAGTGCTAACCATCTAGTTTTGTGCGTTGCATGCCATCATGGGCAAAGATACTTGGCTTTTACTGTGCTCGCTTCTTATTCCAATATCTCATGATCATTTCCACTCTGCGATCCCTCTTTGGCGAATGATAGCCGTCGCTGTGCACTCCCCGACTGAATCGGAATGTCATCTCCGCGAACTGTTCTCCATCTCGGGCTGTTGGATCATCTGAATTATTCTCGTGGGCTTTGGGAATGCCTCCCTGCAAACAGCCAAAAGTCAGAACTCCAACATCCCATCATCTAGAATTGGACGCCTGTGCGATGTGTTTTCATTGTGTTGCTGCGTGCGAACATGGCGTTGAGGCTGGGGAGTTGAACGGACTGACACTTGCTGTGGCGTGAGTGGCGGGGCGCAGGCGATGACTGTGGCGCTCCACGTCCTCCCGGTCACGTCACGTTCCTAAAGGTTAGATGTGGGGCCTTGGTTGTGCACGCTGCCCACTTTGCACACTGGCTAATCTTGCACGCTGCCTGAATCTTATATACTACTAACGCTGTGAAGTAATTACATAGTCCTACCTATATTTGTAAATATGACGTCCAATATATAGTTTAGCTTTAAGTAACTTTGGTATAGTATATATTCAGAAAGAGTTTATTATTTAGATAGGGAGACTGTAATTCATAACTATGTGATACTGAAGTAGCTACAGAGGGGAGAGAAAGCCTCGCATAAGATAAGGCAGACAAACCAGCAAAGGACGTCTTCGCAAGCAACACGAGAGACGCATTAGGAATCATCAGTCATGACAGTAGTATGTGATTGCCTGCCTTCGCGTTGGTTGGGGCGGAACATCGGAACATATTTCGAGTGAGATGGGTAATATTGCGAGCGCGTGCTAAAAAGGGCTTTTCTTGATCTGCAATTAGACCACATTAATGCAGAATCATGGTGGATACTCCCTCCCTCAGGGGCGGTGCTATAAGACCCAAGATGTCCTTCGTAGTTAATTGCCAAAGCCGCTTCACATATGCATCGCTGGTAAACAGCTCTTCGAAAAAGCCGATTTCAGAATTCTTGGCAGATTTCGCAAGTTTAAGAGTCTTGGCTCGTCCTTCGAGAGAAATAGCCTCAAGATATCCAGTGGCGATATCCCACGCTATTGAAACTCTTTTGAAAGCCGTGTTTACCGCAGGGCAAGACAGTTCGCGATTTCGGGAGTGAATATGCCTCGTTCTTATGCTCCTCTGGTTTGGACAAGTCTGATCTCGCGCGAATCGACTTGTTCGTGATAGCAAAGGCTTTTCGAAAAGCAGGCTAGATACCGCATGAGTAAGGCCCAGGAAGGAGAGAGCATCAGTCGTCGAGACTTCTGGTCGATTGGATCGCCGTAGGCTGTCCATCGGAGCAGGCAAGTTCTCTGGGGTTGCGCGACGGTGCGGTCATGATCTGACGCCAATGCTCAATCAGCCTGAAAATGTCAAGGAGTTGTAGATTCTCGGCCTCAGCCCCGACATACAGCAAGATGCTCACTCTATGCAAAGAACTTTGTGACTCTCTTCGCCTACGCAGGTGTGAAGCGCAGGAAATGTTGGATCGTAAATGTCTCCGGATCAATAACTAGACCGATGACTCGATGATGATGGCCAACTGCCGCGTAATCTTGTCGTTTTGCGAAACGACGAACATCTTCACTGAAGGCGAGAACGATGAACATGCTAAAGAGACGTGATTTTGCACACAGAAACCTTGAAGTTGATGCCCATCGCGACCGTCCTACTGACTATCGGAGCCCAGGGTTATCACACCAACCCATCGACAGCTCACGTACGGAAACCAGACCGCGATTGAGAATACCACCCATGCCACAAGCAGGATGGGCATGCAGCAGCGTATGGTCGAACTTAAGAGGAATGCAAATGATCTGGGATTTTGTCGTAAAAGCGGACAGGTTGGAAACCAGGTGCCCAGATGCTGCACGTCGCGTCGCTCACATACTTCGCAAGCCTCCATGCCATTCCTTTGAAGCGAACTGGCTCCAAACTCCTCGCTTAATGCCTCGCCTGAGAAATACTGATATGTCTTGGTCTACATGCGCAGCTGAACTGGAACCTGTATCACGAACGCACATCACCAGATTGTATTCGGCATTATGTCGGACCTCAGGCACATGCGGAACTTGCGGTGTTCCGCCTCCCAGTGTCTTCATGGCCAGTCATAGCTGCGACCTTGGAGAACAAATCAAGTCCAACTCAAGCGGCGCCACTGCATGGTATTATGATGCTACAGGCGGTACAGTAACTAGCCCAATTTACATGAATGCGTTTTCTGATGCATCTCCCACACCAAAGTAATCTTTTCTCTGTCGGCAATATCACAGCTTTGAATAACCACCGTTGTGATTATCGAAGGGTTTGAGGAAGTAGTTCAAGCATAAATACGACTCAGGTACTCGATATCGTAAATCATCCTACAGCACTCGTCAGTATGTCTGAAGTGGGACAAAAAGTGGAAGGGAAGAACTGACTGAGATTGAACGTCAGTAGCACCTGGGTTTATTAGCATATCCCCCAGACTGAAGTTCACACTGTATAGAAGAATACGATCTTCCCATTGCTCAACAGGCTCAGAGGGCGCTAATTGCTTCTGACATTCAGAGAAGAACTCCCTGATCATCATCGATAACCTGGTTAGCCAGGCTCCCATTCCCAATTCGTTGTGTGCGAACAACGCTGCTGAGCTGAGCAGAATCGGTGTGCCGGCTACCGAGTCCATGGCAAGGCTCTGACGACGCAAATTACCGTGCACAAAGGAGGGCTTCAAAATTGGCCATCTGATTGAAGCGGAAGGAGGAGGCTCGGCACAGTCTTCCTGATGAGATGGTCAAAACTGAGAAGAGCCTTAAGCCACAGGCCATTCGTGCGTGACTCGAAATCGCTCAGCCCTCGTAGCATGCCGCTGAACAGTTCGCACCAGCTGCTGTTCCAGATATCAACTAGCTGGCGGAATTTGTCGTGGTACGGCGGCGTTGGAAAACCGAAGTGATTAGGCACTGGTGAAACAATGTCTCGGTGAATCGTAGCGATCGTCTAGCATATCTTCGCCGACGGTGGCAGAATCTCTTCCACAATGTCGATGCAATCCATAACGAGAAGGCCTCGTATATATACCAACTCCCCGTACGTCCTCTCTCTTTCGTGGTGTAGTCTTTCTCTCTCCTCCGTCGTTCGCACCCGTCTGGCTGTCTGCTGTCCGATTGTAGCTTCCCGTCCCGTCGCTGAAAAGGCTTGCTGGTTCATGTCAACTGAATCTCAAACACATTCCTCGCTGTCACAAACTTTAACGATGAAATACCGCTCTTCCGCTGACATGGACACAGTAATGCGCGCAATGCATATCCACCGAGCCAGGTTTTGATCCCCATGGAAACAAATCATCGAGATATAGCACGGGTTCCGAATATATGGGATTCGTTACCACAAAGACTAATATCTCGTTTAGGAAGGTGCATTTACGAATATGGACCATGGAACACCAGCATTCGGCATCTGAATACGACACAGAAGCTTCGAATCGTCGAAGACTTCCTCGGGATTCAGACCGCGATGGATGACTTGCCGATGACCGCCCATGCGGAAACAGAGCATTTGACTTGCAAGTAGATTCTATCACATGAAATATTCCAGCTGTTTGCTCAAGACAAGTCGTCCAATTCGGGATTCCTTTGGGTGCAAGGTTTTCAAGGCTCGAGAACATCAGGACTAGCGTCGTTTCTCATCAGAACCTTCAAAAGTCGAAACGAGACGTGTCATCACTTTCGTTTCTGAGACGATGACATACATAAGCAGTCTTTCTTTTGCGAAATCGTTGGCATTTCAGATATCTTGCGAATCTAGACAATTTCAGGATAACCTTGTGTATTTTGTGTGCGCAGGCGAAACGCTAAGCGGGTGTTCCAAGGAGGTAGCGTGGGAAAAGCTCATTCCTGATCCCACGTCAAAGCTGTATAATCCGCTCACTCTTTTGGGTCATCGATGGTATCGATATATGCGATGAACCGAGTGCAATCATCAACACGCTGCACAGGGGTGTGTTGTCCAAGATGCCGCTTAGGGTGGTGGTTTTCGGTCGTTCATCTCGGGAGTTGGAAAAACTTGTGAGCGACCAAGTTTTGCACATCAATCTCAGCGATTCCATGCAACGCCGTCAGGCTGTCGAAAGCCTCGTGGAAGAGAAGCCTGGCCGTTCAAATCCAATGGCAACTCTTGTCCTCCGGGCATCAGACGGCAACTACTTGACGGCGAGCCTGCTTCTGAGCCAGCACTTTCGTAAACCTGGCGACTTTCCCATGGCGGAGGCGGCAGGCATAGCTCAGATCGAAATGCCTTGAGTCTGGAACCTTTCATAACTAATGAGGCCCGTTTCTGGTCTGCGGAGGAAGCATTTATTGTTCGTCAAGCTCTGTGCGCTCGCGTATGCAAAGGTTCCTCTGGAGCTCAATCAACTCGTCCGAGGCATCGCAATTCTTACTTCAAAGGTTCATGATGCACAAAAGATCAGGAATCTTTTAGGACCGCTTGTCACTGTAAATGGGGCGTCTTCTGTTGAAATTTGCCACCGCTCACCCCGAGGATTTCTTTCCCGAGGAGACAGCCCAGGCATTTGCCCGGCGACATTCACTGGGTATGCAAAAGTTTTCCGAGCTTGCTTGAAGGAGATCCAGGAAGTTCTGGTATACTCAGTTGAGCTTTCGATACTTGCAGAAGGGCAGCTCTTGCCTGCTTATGCTGTCACGGCTTGGTCTTTACATCTTTGTCACGTCGACTTGAGTCTTTATTAAGAAGGATTGTCACTGCTGGGGGACTTTCTGAGCGACTCCTCTGAGGGATCGTGTGTCTTAATGCTTTCGATAATCGGGAAGCTGAATATCATGGCAGATGCTGCAGATGTATTGTGCTTCACGACCAGTTCCTCCAAGGTTCCTATACCGGGGCGTTTCACTGAAATGTTGCAAAACTGGGCAATTGAGATGTCCAGATTGCTGAGCAGATTTGGAGGCCAGCTCCAGAAGTGTCCAAAGGTCATATTCGACAACGTACCGCTGTTTCTACCTGGATCCTCTCTGTTACGCTCTCAGCTCAGACAACCACGCCTTCCCAGTCCTACGTTCGTCGAAGGAGTCGCTCACAAGGACTGAGATGATTTCCATGCGTGCCTTAAAGTTGCCAAAACACCCATGTCAGTCCTTTGCACTCCTCGATTGGTGGCTACCTTGTCGCCCTCTCCACCAGGTGAGGTGTACGTATTGCCAGCCTTATAGTATCGGCGTCCCAGGACAATCGAACATGGGTAGAGCATTGCCATGATGTGTTTGAATACGTCCGGGACAATTTTGGCGACATATGGTACTCGCACGATCAAAATTTGGCTGGTTGAAAAGAACTGTCCACCGTGGATATTTCCCGCCTTGGCTGCAACAGGCCCACTGGATATCGCCTTCTGTATCAACAATCTCTCGGTTCTTGTATGTGCCGCTGATGGCGATATTTGGAGGTTTTCAATACCCATCTTGGCCTCAGGTGAAGCTAATGCCGCGAGATGCCTTGGTTCTGTAGCGATGCCGGGAATAGGAGGTGCGGTATCGAAGCCGCCCAAATCCGTAGCATTCAACGTCAATGGGAGCATGGTTTCAGCCATGTATCATGATCTTTCAGTTGTTTCATGGCATATCTTAGAGTATGGCGGTCGTTTCCATCGGCAGCGACAACGAAGGTTGAGTGGACTGACTGTCTGCTCCTTTGTCAAATCAGTCTACGAAAATTCGATGGCTTTCGGGCAGCAAGAATGTGATCTGTGCCAGGGCTCCATCCGGACGTGGGATGTAGAAGCACTAAATGTTCGCCAAGTTATGAAATCTGGCGCCCAGGATGTTGGGGGTAGTTCTGGGCGTCCGTTATTCATCACCAGCGATGGCACCGGGATATTGAGCGTCAGGCGACTTGATGGCACAATCGTGGTCTCCAGTACTTCGGATGACCGTCATCTTATTGACTCTGTACTGTGCCCAACAGGGCGCAGGGTATATAAACTCTGGAGAAGCCGATGCGACGTCTGGTGCCCGATGGCGTTGGTTCTGCCTGACCAACGTGCAGCTCTTGTTCGGCCTGATGCGGCGGCATCACAGGGCCAGTACTGCTCTTCGGGAGGAGATGTAGAGATTCTCTGCATTAGCCCGCGCATTTCTGTGCCCTACACGGCACAATCGCATGGGAAAATTCAGGCTTTGACCAAGAACGATGAGCGCATCATTTCGCATCAGCCAAAAGTGTCTATCGCGGTCACCAATATGGCTTGTGAAAACTTTGGGCAACTGGCGGCAGTTGCTCACACGACACGTCATCTGAACACCCTTCTGCTCCAGAATCATCTCTTGCGAAAGATTGCGACGCGAGAGCTAATCGAGAGCAAGATCCGCCAACTTCTGTTCAATGCAGATGACCGCATACTTTTGGTCTCTTCTGATGACAGGCTGCTGGTTTGATCTTCCTACGAGCAGACGAACGCCGCTTTCCTAGTCCAGATCGACAGCCCTGCTTACTGAATAAACCATCCCACCGCTAGAAATTACCTCCCTGGTTTCCTCCCGACAGGGCTGATGGCCCTGGAATGGAAAAGCCTCACGACCATTGTAGAAACGGAATTCGCATGCTCACAGCAGGCGACCGACGACAATGACCCATTAATTCCACAACGGCCAATACCGACAAGAACAGACTGTGTGGCCAAAGTCAAGCTCGTGGACGAAGATTCCCGATTCCTCATCGAGAGCAGACAGTACGGCAACATCGGAGCGCTTAGCCTGGAATACATCACAGTCAGCGACGTCAGCGCCTGTATTGCGAATCACGGATTTCCCGTGAAAATCGCGGAGTATCAGGGCAAGTTTAGGCAGGGTCTCGGCAGATTCCTCAGGAGCGTTCGCGCACTAGAAGACGTTATCGACAGTCTTGCTTTCCTAAAGCACAGTGGTTGGCTGTGTGCTATTTCGGGTAACGGGAGTCTCCGGAAGCACATGTTCCTGCCCCTAGACTGGCTTGATCCTCATTGTCTCGACTTCGACGAAATCGACAAGGACGGGACCTTATTTGTTCCCAAAGGGCAGAGCAAGTATACTCCGTAATACGCTAAGAATAACATATTCTAGAGAAAACATTCACAGATGAACGAAGGAGACTGCCGATCCAAGGGATGAGAATCGGATCCGGTTGGTGGAACTGCCCAGTCTTCCCGCCATACTGAACAGGGCGCGATAATCATGATATCTACCTGTAGCGGAGTAGACGCCCCGCTCTTGAAGCGCGCTGCCACTTGACTTCCGTCTATTGTCGCCACCCCAAAGGTTACGGCAGAGAGAAGCACGCGTTTAGAAGCAGTGCAGGATTCCCCAGGGCTCTCTTTTGACAGGCGTCGAAGGCCAACAGGGCTGCGCAGCCACAACAACACGAGAAATGCCTAGTTGAACGATGCAGCAGATCACGAGTCGAGAAAGCGGGAAAATATTTTTGAAGCCGATGTTCCGAACGCTGTTCAATGCAGCCAAGGTCGTTTCATTCTATTGCGATGGAACAATTCGCGACGGCGGCATCTGCGATGCATGATAACGAACTCGTAGAAGTCGAGCTAGTTTGATTTAGCTCACAGCACAAGCACCATTCTACCAGCTTACCCAGGGACAAGGCATCCGGACAACTTGGACTGAGCATTCTGTTCTTCAACGTGCCTCAGCACCTCCCTTGTGGCAAAAGATGCGATGTCAGGTATTGATTTTTCGATAATCCTCTTAATATGGCCAAAGTCTCCACATGCATTTTGCATAGAGCCGCCCAATCTTCCGTCATTGGACTTGTCGATTTCGTTGTTTGAACAATCTGATAGCCTGATTTTCAGGATCTTGTCTCGCAGTTAGCTCGGAAGCATGTCGACTTCGTCAGCTGTTTTTTTCGGATATAGGCTAATCAATTATAGGGCGAGAACCAGCGATCCAAGTTGCAGATGAATGCAGTCACGTCTCACGTCTCGAAGGTCTGCAATTGGATCCGTTGTCGAATGGGCCGGCAATATCATCAGTGATCGAAAATGTTCTGACAGATATATTGACAGAGAATGACTTGCCGTCATGCGTAACGAGAAAGTCGATGCGGTGTCTCCAGCAAGAGACCCGATAGGTTGTGTTTGCTCGTTCGAGAAGAAGCAAACGGCGTTTCGTGCTTTCACCCG